GTCAAATAGCACCTCACCATTATTTTGGTGATGAACATAATTTTGGTGATGAAACTTTTAGACTTGCAAGTTCTGTGTGGGTCAAGTTCTTCAGGAGTCAGACAGTACTTTTGACTTGATTTAGTAAAAAAGAACCACTTTTCATCGATATGGATGTAGTTTTGATGATCAATGAACTTGGGATCCTCCATCAATAAAGTAGGTTGAATTTGAGAAAGTACAAACCTGAGCCTTTTCCTTTTATTTTCCTCAGTTAAATAGGGCTTAATTGCGTTGTTGTGGCTCCTGAGTTCTCCTCTTTTTACTGCCTTGTGAACTGTTGTTTTGCCCATTTGTAGAGCTTTGGCAAGTCTTCTTATATTTGTTATCTGTTCTAGTGGAATTTGACTGACTATGGTGTTGTTTATATCCTTCTTTGGCCTTCCTTTTTTGCCCCACCTATTGGATTTCACATTTATCACTGTTTGGAGTTGTATTTGCTTCCTTGCAATAGACCAAATTCTACTCATTGTCTTCCTGTTAACATTGTATACAACTGCTTTCTTGCTGATGATACCTTTCTGCAATGTTCCCCCCAGCCGGTGTCTTCCCCCCCCCCCCCCCCCCCCCCCCCCCGAAAAATATTGACAATGCTCTCCCCGCTCAGTATCTGACAAATTCTTCTTTGGAATGGCCATAGTTACATCATTTATTGTAGCCATTTTGCTTTGAATATTTTGCAGACAAGTTGGTGTAGAACAAAGTTGTTGCAGATTGTAGTTGTAGGAGATTTAATATCTCACGTAGGAGTATTAATAAAGGACTGCTATTGTACTGTTTGTGGTACTGGATTTGTAATGGGGGGGGGGGGGTTTGAATTCTATGAAAACAAAAGTTAGCTTTTTTGGAGCCAAATATTTGATGGTGAAAGTATGTTGATTTATTGGATGGTTCGTAGTACATACTCTTGCTTTTGTCCTTTTGGAATACTTTATACATATACACTGTACACAACACTACTACCCCTAACTTTATGTAGTACTCCATATTTGGATAGTTTATCAAAAATGTGTTTAAAAAGGTGTTTTGTCTTGGTTGGCGTGCCACACTCCTTCGTCCCATTTAAAAGGGGACGGAGGGAGTAACTAATTAAAAAAAAGTGGCAGATTTAACAGATTTTTGTTTAGGGTACACGTAAACAAAAATACCATCTATACTTTTTTATATCCTAAATTGCATATATTTAATGTGTATGCATGTGTGTAGGTAGTGGTTTCAATGAGAACCGTGCTTAACGTGAGAACTATGCAATTTTAACATAATTTCGTGCACTGTGAGGCTTATCACACTTTTTAAACTTTGGTTAAAATGTGGGAAAAATTCATAAGAATAATCCCGACTATTAGAAATCTTCTAATGTTAATCCCAATTATAAGTAATTCTAAAATAATCTCACGTTTACTAGTATTCTTCTCAAATTGATCCATGTTACTTATAACTTGTTCAGCCGGTAAAAAAAATTAAACAAAAAAGAAAAAAAAGATGAACAATTGACTTCTTCGTCTTCACTAAACTATTCTTGCTCCCTTCGTCTCTCACAGCAGGTTACTCAAATTTTTTTGTTTGATTTTATAGATCTTCCCTTCTTTTTTGTCCCCCTCTGCCTCATAACTAAATCTCCTTCCTCCCATTTGCCATTTCTTTCTCAAATTCGTACTTCATTCTTTCTAGGGAAAACTATCAAATAGGTCCTTGAACTTTCATAAAAAGGTCAATTAAGTCCTTCTATAGGAGGTTCTGTCCGGCTGTCGCGATTTGGGGCAGTTCCCGGTAGAATTGTTTGATGAAATTTTTTTGAGCATCTTACTCACCAAGTCTAGTTTACTCATACCAAATTTCAGATAAAAATTCAATCGGGAACACATTCAAATTAATTATTGAAGATAACTGTGCATTTTTGCGTTCAAGAATTAATTTGAATGTGTTCCCGATTGAATTTTTAGCTGAAATTTGGTATGAGTAAACTAGACTTGGTGAATAAGATGCTCAAAAAATTTCATCAAAAAATTCCACCAGGAAGTCGGGAGCTGTCCCAAATCGCGACGGCCGGAGAGAACCTCCAATAGAAGGACTTAATTGACCTTTTTATGAAACTTCGAGGACCTATTTGACAGTTTTCCCTTCTTTCTATGTTAGATTTGGATAGTTCAATTCCGTCAATCCAACTTAAACTTGACACTATTCATCATGGTAGATGATGAACTTGAATGATGGACGACCTATGATGGAGACCGGGCCAGCTGGGATGGAGGGATAGCTACGAAGAAAGGACAATGATGAAGACGTACATTCTTCGTCTCCTAGGGAGAGGCAGTCGCGTTGAAAATCTGGCCTTGATGGTGAGGATGCATGGAACCATACTCGTACTCCCAATACTAGGAAGATGAAGCAAAACGAGGGAAAAAAAGAAGAGGAAACATATCAGATGCGAGAATGAAAAGAAAAATATGATACATAGCAGGTGGGGGAAAGAAAATGGCTTCGATAGAGATGGTAGAGAAGAAGGGGGAAAAGAAAAAAACATAAAGGAAAGAAAGGGGAAAGAAATAAAGGAAAATAAAAAATGTAATGGAGCCCATTAAAACATGCCACGTGGTCAACTTACCGGCCAAAGCTGTTTATTCAGGTCACCGGCTCGTTTATGGAAGACTGCCGTTAAACTTTAGATGATTTTAGGATTATGTATATTTGGGATTAATATTAGAAGACCCATAATAGTTGGGATTATTGTTGTGAATTTTTCCTAAAATGTGCCAACATCAAATAAATGTGGTGACAGATTTGTAAAAATTCCATCAACATGAAAATGTATAAGGTATAAACGATATTGTGCATCACATTTGTTTTAAAGTGGGGTTCTCACATTCTCACGTTAAGCATGGTTCTCATTTGATACTAAATCTACACACACACATAGATGAGCATGGTTTGTATTTGATCTCTAATATGTGTGTGTAATATGGTCACTAACTTTTTTTTATGTGTAGGTGGTGGCAAACTTGAATATGACATGAGCTTCCCAGATGTACTTGTGGTGCTTTGTAAACTTTGTCATGTGGAGATGCTCATATTTTTAATATTGGAGCTCATTACTTTGTATTTTTTAGTACTCTTTTTCGGAAGATAATGGACGTGTGGGTTGTTAATATGATATGTTGTGGTGCTTTGCGTAGAACTTTGTCACACAGAGATGCTCATATTTGTAATATGAGAGAACTCTATCTTTTTTATATTAGTAATTTTTGGTACATTTTGTTGAATGATGGAGGTATTGATTACTATTATAATATGCTTAAAGATTTATGTAGTGTACTCGAACAAAATTTTGAGTATGTTGTTGGTGACTTTCTACATTGTTTTGTTATTATTGTTGAATAAAATAATGAATTTTTTTCACATTATATTAGCCGAACAAGGAAGAAGGAATAAGTACATGTAAACACAAAAAAGTACTAAATACATGTCTTGTGGGGTGGGAATGCATTTATATGTAAGGGAAAGAGAAAGGGTTGATTCCCCTTTACTTTTTAATTAAAAAAAAGTACCAGTGGGCGTAGCTCAACTGGTAGCGAGGGAGTGCCACAAGGGTTAGGTCTCGGGTTCAAATCCCGGCAACTGCGATGAAGGGTTACTATGCTGAAAAATGCATAGGGCTTCTGCAAGTACCGGGGACAGAGTCCCACTCTCTATCTGTCAGATTGTGATTATAGTCCAATTTACATCATCCTTTCCCTTTACTTTTTAATTTTTTCCATTGATGGTTGACATCATACGGACAAAATGATGTGGATATTATATAAGAGATGACGTGGATATTAAAAAGGTGACAACTCCGGTACTCATTTAAAAAAATGGGGTATCGTACCTACCATACATTTAATTGGTCCATATCATTATATCTTTTTTAATTTAGATTTAAATAATTGAACTACGTCATTCTTATTGGTCCATGTGTACAAAGGTATGGTACCTTAAGGGTACCATAGAATCTAGCTATTAAAAAGTGCTGACCCAGTTCGAGTGGTGACATGATGCTCATAAGTGGATGACAAGGCAAAAATCCTCTTATTTGGGAAATAAGATAAAAAAAAATTCTGATTTGGGAAATAAGATTTACAAATACCCTCCTTTGGAAAAAAACTCAAAAACTCTAATTGGCACCACAAATTCTTTACTTATTCAAACCAGACTAATTCAAATCAAATCAGAGTAGATTAAATTTAATTAGACCAAATAAAACAAACCATAAAATTTCAGTCTAATAAAAAACATCATTATTCTCTTCAACTTAGAGTAATAATGGAACTATAGTAACTTATGTTCAACTTTTAAACTTAAGTTACTATGACACTACATTGTAGTTACTATTTTATGTAGATAAGTTTTATTTTGGTAATATTTTTGTAAAAAAACCTATGTTCAACGTACTTATTCTCTTAATTAGAATAGTAAATTAGTAATGGAACCATGTTAACTTATGTTCAACTTTTAAACTTAGGTTACTATGACACTATATTATAGTTACAATTAATAAATTTTATTTTGGCAATATTTTGGTAATACACTTCAAAAACATCTATTTTTCTTTTCATTTCTTTCAACTTCTTTAATTTGTTAAAAGTGTTTTTGAAAACTTAGAGCATTTTTTTTCAACCTTTTGTTTAAAACATAGCTAAAAGGAATGTTTTAAATTGACATCTTCTGTTTAAATTAAGTAAAACAAAAAGTTGAAAGCTCGTGGAAAAGTGTTTTAAAATATTGTTCACGTTTTCTATTATACAAAAACATTTTTTGTCAAACACTATTGATAATTACTTTTTCGATAACATTTTTTAAATTATCAATTTTAGTATCAAACACTTTCATCAAAATCACTTAAAAAAATCATTTTTTTCAAAAATAGAAACTATTTTTAAAAAATACAAATACTCCTTAATCTTTTTTTTTAAGAAGTCCTCAATCTTGTCCATTAAAAATCCTTCCTGGAGAGTCTCAAGTTCCTGGTATCAAGACTCAAGAGCTCGGATGGCAGCGTCTAGATGACCTGACTGTCCCTTACATGTCAAGGTTGCGCAATATCATTGCGAAAGTCACTAAACTCGACCACCTTAGTCAACTCCATGCACACCTCATTCATTACTCCCTCCCTTGCCAAAGCTACTGGGCGGCGCTGCTTATTAACCACTGCACCCGCCTCCGCGCTCCGCCGCCCTACACTCGACACATTTTCGACTCGGCGTGTGAACCGAACGTCTTTGTTTTCACCAGCATGTTAAAGTATTGCTCCCAGCTTGGCTCCCAGGGTGATGTTTTCCATCTGTTTGAAGAAATGCGGGAGTGTAAAGTGAGCCCTGATGCGTTTGTGTACCCAATACTGATCAAAGCGGCTGGGGAGCGTGGGTCTGTTTTCCATGCGAACGTTATTAAACTGGGTCTTGACTGTGATAGGTTTATACGTAATGCTATCATGGACGTGTATGGGAAATTTGGGCCTATCGAGCTTGCAAGGGAGTTGTTTGATGAAATGCCCGACAGAGCTATTGCAGATTGGAACTCTATTATTTCTGCGTACTGGAAATGGATGAATGATGTTGAAGCACGTAAATTGTTTGACATGGTGCCGGATAAGAATGTGATTACTTGGACAGCAATGGTGACTGGGTATTCAAGAAAGAAGGATTTGGTGAGTGCAAGGAGTTTTTTTAATCAAATGCCAGAGAGAAACGTGATTTCGTGGAATGCAATGCTTTCTGGCTATGCCCAAAATGGGTGTACTGAGGAAGCTACAAGGTTATTCACTGAGATGATTAATGCCGGAATAAGTCCAGATGAGACAACATTGGTAACTGTGATTTCTTCTTGCTCTTCACAAGGTATTCCTTCCCTTGCCGATGGGCTTGTCAGGATGATTGAAGAAAAGGGCATTCATTTGAATTGTTTTGTTAAAACAGCACTTCTTGACATGCATGCCAAGTGTGGAAATCTAGAGATGGCAAGAAAGATTTTTGATGAGATGGGTTCGTATAGGAACTCCGTTACATGGAATGCAATGATTTCTGCGTATGCAAGAGATGGCAATTTGGATTCAGCGAAAGAGCTCTTCGATAGGATGCCAGTGAGGGACATTGTATCCTGGAATTCTATAATAGCTGCTTTTGCACAGAATGGACAGTCTAAAATAGCAATTGATCTATTCAAAGAGATGATTGAGAAGGAACTTGTGCCAGATGAAGTAACAATGCTTAGTGTAATCTCGGCTTGTGGACATCTTGGGGCTCTGGAATTCGGCAAAGAGGTGGTAAATTTCCTAATGAAGGACCAAATTAAATTGAACATTTCAGGTTATAATTCCTTGATTTTCATGTATTCCAAGTGTGGTAGCATGAATGATGCAAAAAGGATATTCCAATCCATGGAATGTAGAGACGTGGTATCATACAATGCACTTGTTACAGGCTTTGCTGCTTATGGTAAAGGAGTTGAAGCTGTTGATTTACTCTGGAGGATGGAGGCAGAAAACATAAAACCAGACCGGATAACTTATATGGGAGTTCTAACAGCTTGCAGTCATGCAGGATTGATAGATGAAGGCCAAAGAATTTTTGAATCTATCAAAGCTCCTGCAGTTGATCACTATGCTTGCATGGTGGATTTGTTAGCCAGAAATGGTAAACTAGATGACGCAAAGGGATTGATTGAAAGAATGCCACTGCAGCCTCATGCCGGTATATATGGTGCACTTCTAAATGCTAGCAGGATTCATAAAAGAATTGATCATGCAGAGTTTGCAGCCGGTAAGCTCTTTGAGATGGAACCAGAAAATGATGGTAATTATATCTTGCTTTCTAATTTATATGCTTCAGTAAGGAGATGGGAAGATGTTGAAAGAATTAGAGGATTGATGAGGAAAGAGGGAATCTCAAAGACAACTGGGTGGAGTTGGGTAGAACATGGAGGCAAAATGCACAAGTTCATAGTTGGTGATCAGTTCCATGAAAAATCAGATCATATTTATAGAGTTCTTCGGGAAATGGAAAAGAAGATGAGGGTAGCTGGATATATAGCTGACAAGAGCTGTGTTTTGAGAGACATCGAGGAAGAAGAAAAGGAGGAGATGGTCGGTAGTCACAGTGAGAAGTTGGCTGTTGCATTTGCAGTTTTAGTGAGTGAGCCAGGGTCAGTGATACGAGTGGTAAAGAACCTTAGGATCTGTAGGGATTGTCACACTTCTATGAAGATCATCTCAAAGTTAGAAAAAAGGGAGATTATTGTGAGGGACAACAACAGGTTTCACTGCTTCAACAATGGGTTATGTTCATGCAAGGACTACTGGTAGCAAATGGTAATACTTGCTTTACTTTTGATCTTATTTAACTCTACTACAGAGGATCATGATGGAACACATCTTCTAACCACTAAATGCTAACTATACACAAACAATTTCTTTTGCCCGAATGGGTTTTTGTAATACATAAATGGGGATGTAAATATGTAATGGTACCACATATTTTAATACCCAGTTTTAGTATTTATTTCCTGCTCGTGCATTTCGTTTTAGAACTTTATGGAAACACGCCCACATACTAAGGCTATTTTTTTAATTGGAATTTAAATATACACCACCTCTGTCTTAAATTGACAGTCCCATGTTTTGCAGGAATTGTACTATTAAGAAAAAAATTATTTGTACAAACTGTTTTATACACATCAGTACACACGTCGATGAACATGTTATGTTTTGGTCCGACTATTCACAAACAAAACATGGTCACCGATGTTAACAAGGAGGGTTGTACTATTAATTTGGGACTGAGAGTATAGGCAAAACATGGTAAATTTGTAATATATGATACTCCCTAATAACAGTAAAGCGGAAATGCAACGACCTACTATTACAACATTCCATTTAGAGCTGTTATCTGATTTATTGAAGTGTTTATCCCACATTAATTGAAGTGTTTATCCCACATTAATTTGGTATTTATCATATTAAAATGAACTCCAAGTTTACAAATCGTGAGATTTCATGAAGAAATTTAAATCAATGTTAAAGCCTCGGGCCTTATTAGTTAATACCAATATCATATGCACAATTACATCTGAAACCTCACTGTGTTGTATTGACATACACTTTACGAAGCTGCACAAGATAAACCAGTAACAATCTCAATTCACACATTGAATGAACACATTTATTAGAAGGGGACAGAAGATTCAAAGTTACACGAGATAATATTAGAACATTTTTACTACAAGGGAATTAAAACCAGTAAAGATAATATAGTATATCACGTCCCAAGTAATATTATACGGAGTTTTTATTACAATAGTGGATCTCATGGAAGTGGTCTAAAAAACAAAGATGCAAATTCTCAAGGTCACCCACCAAAATGATCTGAAGAGCCTACAGCCGCTTCAGCAAAAGAGGGTAAACAAATACCCGTGGAACCTGAAACCACAAACGGGGGAGTGAGTATTTGATACTTCCTCTATGCATATGCAATGTACAAACCAAAAACGTGTAAAAGTAACACTGGCAAAAAAACATTTCTATGTTTACATAGTGCATCTCATAGTAAGCAAAGTAGGATACGAATTTTTAATAAAACTTTGCATTAAATAAAGACACTTTAAAAAGAGCATATCCGTTTACGGTATTGCTGCATGATCGAAAGATCACATGTTCAAATTGTAGAGACGGCATCTTGTCAAGGAAAAACTTACCCCTTTTTAAGGACACAATTTTGTCATAAACCATGTGCATAGACTATAGACACATCTGGCCAAACTTGTACCGAACACTAGAAGAACACTTTAAGGAAAAGGAGAAAATTTAATAAAGGAGACGGGCAAAAACGTGAGGAAGAAGATTTAGAGATGAGGGAATACATAGAATTAATGATGTATTTAACTAAAGTTAATGTTTTTTGGAAATTTGTTTAGGGAAGCATCCTCAACAAATTGATCTTACGTATGACGAAGTGATCCCATTTTGCCTTTCTCGTTCATCCTACTAAGTTTGTCTCATATCATATTTGACACGGTGTAACGTTTAGATGATTATTGCAATTTATTTATACTTTATTCACACTATTCTAATCCAATATCAACACTCAACTTCATGTATCTTGATAATCACACCACTTCTTTATGCTTCAATCTTAGAGGGCGATGGTAATATTATTTAAAAGAGGGCACATCACCACGCCGATGGAAGACCATACCCAATTAACAAGCTACGTAGAAATTACGGGTACGACTTCGGAATCAAGAACCGGCAAACCAAACCGTTATAAAAATATGCTAGGTGTAAGAGAAGTTATGTTCATGTAAGTGTTTGTATAAAAGCTGTAATTATACTATTTTGTCTATTGGCATTAGTGGCATTATGTTTGGGTAAAAAGTGACATGTAAAGAAAAATGTATTTATGTGATTGATATTGAATTGATAAAGTAGTAATAAAGAAAGATATAATCACACAAACTTTACCAAATTTGCTACGAGACCATCTTAGTGGGACATACCGAAAAGGAAAGATGAAACAATCTTAACGGGACGGAGGAAGTATTATAGATGTTGTAAATACATGTGTAAATGATGTAATAAATAATGTAAAATGTATGTGACAATTGTGTAAATGTAATATTTATTTGTTTAAATAAAGGAACACACGAAGTTGGATGGATTTAAGATGTAAATCAATGGAATTGAAGAAACATAAAGTGTTTTGGACACTTATCAAATGCAAATACGACATTTTGGTGTAAATGTTTTATAGATAATACTCCCTTCAATCCACAAAACTTTGATAGCTTTCCTTAGTTAGCTATACCAAAAAACTTTGTCATTACCATTTAAAATAATATATATGTGGTTAAAGTTATTTATCTTTCTTCTGCACAAATCTCAACCAAAAAGTTTTCAATTCAGTGTTCCACGCGTAAGTCAACTTTGACCAAATTTTATGGGACGGGGAGTATAAAACACATGTGAAAATGTGTGAATATATATAATTTTGTGTAAAGAAAGGAATACATCAAAGTAAGTTGGATATAGAATGTAAAGCAATGGAATTGAATAGATATACTCATATAAGTCGAATAAAAGCTCAAGACTTCTCAAATTCAGATAGAATTTTATTTTAGATGAAGAAAGTTGAAGTTGTGAATTGATTTAGATGAAAAAAGTTGAAGTTGTGAATTGATGAAAAAGAGAAAACCCTATATTGATTTGTAATGTGAGTTGAATAGAGGAGCAAGAAATGAAACACATGAATAATTGGTAGAAGAAAAGAATTGAATAAGAGAAAAACAAAAGAACCGGTGAAGAGGGGAAAAAGCAGCAGTAGAAGAAGACATCATTTTTTTCAAATATAAAGCTCAAAACATCATCGTTTTGTGAGATGGGTGTAACATGCGGCAGCTGTGCCCATGGTATAATTTGCCGTTCAAACCTATGTATCATTGCAACATTAATTAAAAAGATTCCCAAAAAAGTTTCCCATACATTGAAAATTTACCTAAACCTCTTGCCTAGGGGGATGCATCTGGTTGTTTCTCTGGCATAGCATTTTGAATAGCAGGTACTTCTTTGTACGCCTCATATAAACGAGACAGAATGGGGAACTCATTCTGCACATAGCATGGAACACAACACGCAGCAGAAAACATCTTAGAATAGATAGATAAACCATAAACATACATAATGCAGCTTTGGAATTATTTCATTCACAGCACTGTCTTCTTGAAGACAAGAAAACTGGAGAACATACAACATGTGTCACGGCCAGTCGGCAAAATTTGTAGCAAAAATTGAAAGGAACAAGCGGCATAAGAGAAACCAAGACGTAATGACAACTTAAAGGTGAATAGGGACAAGAATAGTTGGTTCTTTTATATTGCACCGAAGGGTTCAATATATGAGACATATAAAGTCAAATAATTGAGCACCAGATATGAGACATAAGTTCCAAAACATATGAAGACATATAAAACAGTAAACAAATGAAATAGATTTTGGGCAACCAATAGATCAGCTTGCAAGTTGGATGTAAGGATTACCATATCCATTTTGAATCTGTTGACAGCTCCATAGATCTGGGGCACAAGAAAAAGATCAGCCTGCCAACAAGTTATAATACTTTTCAAGTATCACATACAGCACAACTTGGTCAAAAGTCAAGACTACATTTAATAAGAAGACATCATATAGGTAATATCTGATATGCATATATCTATGGAGGGGGGCGGGAGCCGCGGGACTGGTTCAACTCAGGGTGCCCTACACCCAACACCTGACCCAATATTAATAATTCAATTTGTGTAAATAAACATTTAGGATTGTACCAAGTACCAACATAACAACACATAAAATGCTCCCCGCGTCACAAAAAGATTCAAGTTAGAGTGAGATACAACTTTTTTGTTCAACTCATTGAGGTACACGCTTTTACAAGTAATGAATGGTCACTTATATCCCAAAAATATTTTAAAAATTGAGTAGGCTACATAGCCCCCTTCATGTGATGACTTTACTACTATTACTGAATATAGTGGCTACAAAAATGCATCACTGAATATAGATGAAGCTTTTATGGTTGGGTTAATGATTAGTCAATTACAATGATAACTCAATTTCATTCTTAGCCTCTTAAGGCTAGATTGTTCCTTGAGCACATGCTTACAATGTAATTACAATATCACTACATTACATGGTTATTATTCTTTCTTGATTGAACAATTCTGCTTCTTCTGTCTAGGTGGTGGTAGATTGGATGTTGTATACTAATTGATAGCTTTCCCTTTTGTTTATGTTTTTGGGCACGTTCGCCCTGACTAGATTAGGCACTCTACACGATAGGCACACTACTACCACCTGATGAACACAAAAAACTTCTGCAACATTGTGTCAGGATATATTTTTGGGGAGGGTTAGAGGGGGAATAATCTGCTGGTAATTTCAGGAGTGCCCAACTGGCCATAAGGGGTCCATGTGAAAATATATCCTAGTAAAAGAAACTAACCAGATAAATTTCATCACCCGTAGCATACTTCCCAGCATGACTTTTCAATAACTCTTCAAGCGCTGCAAAAATGGTGTCACAAGTAATAAAATTATAGAAGCACAACAGCTTTATTTTAAAGTCTTATAAAAAAGGAGACAGAGAATCCATGCGACTAAGAAATGCATTAAGTTATAATAAAGTATTTGTGAGCCATGTGACTAGAAAATCAATCCAAATTAGGTAACCCTTATACCCTTCTGATTGTGAGAAAGAGTTGTGACCTGAACAGCTAATAAAATCACCACAGGAAATTATGAAGTTTTATACTCTCTCCATCCCATTGTATAGGTCCCAATTGTTTCCTTACACTGATATTTAAGAAAAAATATATATGTAATCAACTATCAAAGTATGCCTTTGTAAAAATCTGAAAAAGCTGTGCAAATGGGCCCAAATGTCAAAACATAAAGGGTAAATGGAGAAAAATTGAAAGTTACTGATTCCTAAAAAGGATTGTGGACTTAAGTGTGGGACAAACTAATAAAGAAAATGGGACTTATAAAATACGACAGAGGGCTTGTTTGTAAGGTGACTGCAAAATGCTTCTGAAATAATTGTTTCCAGTGTTTGTCAAGGACATAAAATAGAAGAACTGGAAACACAGAAGGGCCACTGAAGGGGGGAGGATGGAGGAGGGAAGGTAGTATGGATTGGAAAGAAAAAAAACTATCTTTATGCTTCAAGTTTATTAAGTTCACATGCTTTTTACCAGCAAAGCCTTTTCGTATATGAGTCAGACACCATGGGACTTTTTCATCAGGACCCACTTTGTCTTCAATATATTTCTGTGTTGCATGGAGAGAAAGACAACACCTTAAGAAATCAAAGTGCATGTGTTCAGATGGTAAATTGTCATTAACCAACCAAACGATAATACTACATGTCGACACTTACCAGAATAACTAAATTTTGTAGAGGTTGTATGTTTGCAGAAACTATATTTGCAGCCTATAATCAAATAACAAACCAGTGAGAAATAGCAACAGTAAGCCATAAGAGAAAACAGTGCGCAAAGATATAGACATGAATAATCCTGGCACTTTAATACTTGCACAAAACTTTGATGGGGGGGCATCTCTCACTATTAGGTACAGAGTGGTTTAGTGCCAGCACCATGTTTAGTTCTTATTAGATTGGATAACAATTTCTAAGCCTAAAAACTCTTATTTGTTCATAACTAAAGTGCCTCTAAGAGTATCCCAACCTATACATAGAGGGCAAATCCCATTAGACAATATCCCAATAAAGTATAATTAATGCATTATGCTTCAGAATTCATCTGCAGACTGCAGCAACTCAAGAAGCGGTTCAATGCATATCATTCATGTACTGATGACCAACTGATCGCCAACAAAAGTGGGACTAAGGCTTTAGTGAGTTGACTTGAGCTGATTAAGGTCAAACTGAAAGGAACATATTTGTTTTAGCAAGGAGAGAGAAAAATGGAAACATTGCCTAACCTCAATTGCTAGGGTTGTAAATAATGAGCATTGCATGCTTGCTAAAGTGAGTAGAGTCGATGTATTAAGGAAATATAATCCAGTAAAATAGGACTCTTTGCTAGGAGAGCTTCAATCCTGATACTTCATACAGGCCCAAAGAAAACATTTTTACAGCTTGATTGAATTTATAGAATTACAGCAGTGTTATAAAAGCATCAGGCGGCCACTAAGCGGTGGACTAGGGCCTAGTGCCTAAGGAGACTTACGTGGGCTAAATCAAGGAATAGATGGGTTGGGTGGGGCCAAATCAAGAAAACCCAGAGAGGTTCATAGGTGTCCTAGCACCCAGGTGGGGGCTGGTTGCTGGTAGAGGTAGACATGAACTTTAAAACTGATATATAGATATATTGGTACCATAAACAACATAATGGTAAATCATACTCGGATAAAAAGACGATTATAAAAGTTTGATAGCCAATTGAGTGATGTGGCCTAATCCAGTTGAAAGTTTGAAATCCAGTCGACTTATCTCTGTGAAGTTATCTCTAGGAATGGATGTAAAAATGAAATAGAAACAAGAAAAGCATACATTTTATTCCTGCAGAACTAGTATTAACAAGGCACTTTACTCCTATAGACGTGTTCTGAAATGTGAGTACCTAAAACACTTTCTCAATTTACCTGAAAGTGTATAGCTTTTAACTGAAGATCCTCAGGCAACAAGGGATGCTCTGGGTACTTTTCTTCCAAATACTGCACAATATGATTACTTGTGACTTATCAGTTATATTGTACAAAATTCCAGCCTTAACAGCTAGCAAATACGACTATTAAGGGCTCACCATCAAAATGGCAAAAGAGTCTGAAATAACCACATCTCCATCAACCAATACAGGCACATACCCCATTGGGTTGATCTTCAGAAATTCTACATTTCCATCCACAACACAAAAAATTGAGCTTAATAATGTGGCCAAGTTAACAACTCTACACTATAATAGTGTCCATTTTTCTTTACAGTAATCATTGATCGATTTACTTCAGAGAAAATTGAAAAGAACGTCAAACCAGGGCTGGATTGCTCGCCAGTGATCAAGTTAACCGCTTTGTACTCGTAATCAAGTCCTGTGATTATTTCACAATAAATTTCGTGTGGGAATTTGGATAAAATTGTTCCAATAAACAGAGTGCTCACCTTTCAGATTAAGAGCGATTCGAACGCGGAAAGAGCAAGAACTCCGCCAATACGAATACAACTGAAGCATGTTTGAGTCTCAATTGCTAACCGTCTGAGCAACCGTAGTTAGATACTCTTATACTCCGTAGAAAATAGAAGGGAAGAAGAAAGTTAAAAACGAAGATATAGCTTACCAAGTCCTGGTGAAAGTGGGTGGCTACTCAAAATAGTTACGAGCTGCGTTGCCGGCAATCTGATGGCTACACATGCTGAAGTCGGTTGGTTAGATAATCTCCTGTCATGCTGAAGTGTTATCCATTTTCTTGTGTATACAAATATGTAGTTTTGAAAAAAAAAAACAATTGTCTATTAACATAGACAAGTATAAAATTCTTTCCCATGTATCTAAACAAAAATAGACAAGTATAACATATATATATATATACAAAAAAGATCAGGTCCAGCCCTCCCCGGTCCAGCCGCCGTCCGAACTCCGCCATTTGGGGCGGTTCCCGGTGGAATTTTTTGATGAAATTTTTTGAGCATGTTCTTCATCAAGTCTAGTTTGTCCATACTGAATTTCAGCTCAAAATTCGATCGGGAAGGCATTCAAATCATTTTTTGAAGTTGACTGCATTTTTATATGTATATTTTGGCGCAGTCAACTTCAAAAAATGATTTGAATGACTTCCCGGTCGAAGTTTGAGCTGAAATTTGGTATGAACAAACTAGACTTGATGAAGAACATGCTCAAAAAGTTTCATAAAAAAATTCCACCGGGAACCGCCCCAAACGGCGGAGTTCGGACGGCGCCTCCCGTCCCTCCGACTGGACCTGATCACTTGTACAATAGAAAACAATTGTCCGTGTAGACATGAGGAGTTCCTATACTATACACCCACATGTATACTCCGTATTTAGTTATTTACATCATTTTTTTTTTGTAATTTGATTCATCTTTAGATCTATTTGATACTTACTCTCCCAAAATACTTTTAACTGATTATCAACATATGCTTGCTTCACCTTAAGCCCCAGCTCACATTCTTTATATCATTTTCTTTTATATTTATATTCTTGAATTTCAATTGATAAAAGTATCTAATATTGACTCTTGTGAAGTCAAAAACAAATTGGATGACTATTTGAATAAAAAACAGACATTTTTCTCTTCACTGCAGTTTTTTTTAATTGATTTATTATTTGTAACTTTGAAAAATTACAAAGTGAGTTTTAACCTCTTTCTTGATCGAATGGATATTTGACTAATTAATGCACTTGTACAATATGTTGATATATGTAAGATTTTTTTTATTGAAAATTGTTGTGACTAGATTCTCTCATTCTTTTCTAATTTTATACTTTGAGTTTGATGTTTAAAAACTTGTAAAATGATTGGAATATGCTTTCCAATGATTTTATGATAAATCAGAAAATATAGCTAATTTTATTATATTGAATGGTAATATGTTCATGCAATGCGATCAACAATAATAACTAAGCCTTGATCTCAAAAGAGTTATGTGTTCATTACATGTGAGAAATTTAAATGAGTATTATGTTAAAATGAGTATATTACGCAAAATAAATGTGTATCGATGTAACACTATAAAATAAACACAACAATTTTTGTAAATTGCAATTATAAAATACGAGTTTACTATTACTTTTATATATCTCATGCAGCATACATGTGCAAGTCATTTAGATAATGAGCATTAGACATATTTTGTTGAGTATTAGGAGTCTAATATTGATCATCGTGATATCTGCTTCATATATTTTAATATAGAGAAAAGAGGCAAATAAGCCCACATACTAACAAAAAAGGTCAAATAAGCCCTTATATATGAGACTCTGTCCGGTTATCACCATTTGGGGCGGTTCCCGGTGGAATTTTTTGATGATTTTTTTTTGAGAATCTTATTCATTAAGTCTAGTTTACTCATACCAAATTTCAGCTAAAAATTCAATCGGGATGGCATTCAAATGAATTCTTGAACATAACTGCGCTTTTAACTATGCAGTTATCTTCAAGAATTCATTTGAATGCCTTACTGATTTAAGTTTTAGCTGGAATTTGGTATGAGTAAACTAGACTTAATGAATAAGATGCTCAAAAAATTTCATCAAAAAATTCCATCGGGAACCGCCCCAAATATATGGCGACGTTCGGACAAAGTCTCTTTTATAAGGGTTTATTTGACCTTTTTTTATAAGTACGTGGGCTTATTTGCCCCTTTTCTCTTTAATTTACTTTCTTTTTTCTTATTTTTTTATTTTATAAAAATTTCTTAAATTATGTTTACAATAAACTCTTATGAATTTCAATATGCGAATATAATTTAATATTATACTTTTGAAGTATTCATTGATATGAAAATGATAAACCATGTATCAAGACATTTTTATTGAGCATCAAACTCCCTTTATTGAGCACATGAACTCTACAATTGAATATACAAAATTTGAAAACCTTATATCTTATCAAAACATTTTCATTAAGTATCATGTTGTCAACTATTGAGCATCATAATGATGTATATTGAGCATTATAACTCTCAATTATATTTGAGTATCAAATTTTCTTCATTGAATATCATGTTCTCTACACAATTTCAAAATCTCATTTAGGCAACAAAATATATTTATTAAATATCATATTCTCGACTATTGAGCATTGTAACTTTTCAATTAAATATATTTGAGTACATTTGAGCACCAAGACATCTTTATTGAGTATTGTATTTTCTATTATTGAGCATTAAAATTGTGTGAGCAAGCCCAATCTGGTCACATGAGTTTCGTCGGTATTGATATGACATTTTAAAGTGAACATAACACTGGTACCGAATCAGTATACATTACTTACTAAATGGGCATTCCAAAATTCAAAGGCTCATTAAAATATCTAATGTACTCATATGTTTATTTGTATATGGTCATTTTTTTAAGGGTTATATCCATTTGAGCTTAACATAAAGTCAATTTCTATAATATGCATAGATAAAAGATTTGTTATTAACAATTTACTAAGCTATCATTATACTCCGCTATATAGAAATGAGAAATATAATAAATTTTAGTTTCAAAATAATTTATAATTTATCGTTCTTGAATTAGAAAATTGATCATATTCTTTTTAGTATACTCATGCACACTTATTTTAAACACTATACTCATTTTTTCGAAAAAAAGTTGTAATTCGTTTGTGTTAATAATTTACAGAAAAAAAAATTAAAATTATAAAAGAAAGTTGATTACAAAAAGAAAATAAAAAAAGAAGCAAACTAGAACGTAACTTTAAGTCACGTTTTATATGGCACATTTTTTATAAATTAAAATTAATAAGAAAAAGTTTGAAATTTCAAAATAGGACTACTATGTTTTTCTTTCCGAAATAGGAGTTGTTATTACCATGTATGAAAAAAATTGTCATGATTGAAAACTACAGTCATTAATTATAATAACTAATGTCATGTTGAATGTACTATACTGTAACTATTTGGCAATTATGCCTACAAGATGATAGTAAATGCTGTCATGTTAATCTTATTTCAAGAATAAAAACATATTAGTTCTATTTTGAAATTTCAAACTCCATTTACTCTTATTTTGGGAAATCTCCCAAAAAGAAATCAAAAGGATTTTGGGAAATCTCCCAAAAAGAAATCAAAAGGAAAAGACTATGGAGTGGGCCTGGAGCATGATACGTAAGAAGGAAAAGCTAATAAGCTATAGACTAACGTAAGAAGCAAAAGAAAAAAAGATTAAGGAGTGAGATCATGACACATAAACTAAAGGCCTAAAGTTTTACTCCGTAATATACGAGTATTACGGAGTATAAAAATAACGGGTATACCATATAAGTTATGAGACATTTAAATTTGTTTGTAAGTTTTCTCATGACTATGTTAATCTTATTTCAAAAATAAAAACATAATAGTTCTATTTTGAAATTTCAAACTCCATTTACTCTTATTTTGGGAAATCTCCCAAAAAGAAATTGTTGGTCCCGTCTAAAATGGTAATCAGTCTAGAGGGGGGGGTGAATAGACTGATTGGATTTTCAAATTTTCTCTAAGTCAAAACTGACTTATCAGAGAAGGTCTGATTCTGATGTCAGAGAAAGGCTGGTTCTGATATCAGAACTGGCCTTGGCAGCGGATTCTGATCTGTCCGGGTAGCCTCAGTAAAATACTAAGGCAAATGCCTTTCTGATAACTCTGAAAACAAGATCTGCTGAACACAGATTCCAAGTCTTAGAGTTAATCAGATAATATCCTAAGTGCAGAAATATAAATTGCAGTAAAGTAAATGACACCGGATATTTTTATAGTGGTTCAAGGAACAACTCGTTCCTCTAGTCCACTGTTCCACTAGCTTTGAAGTAGATCAGTTACAAAGCTAATTCCTAGCACTCAAGAAGCACTCCACGTCTTCTTCAAGCCTAGATGCCACCCAGGATGCAGTTCCACGTCCTGATGGCTGATCCTTTTACTCAGCTTCCCGGAAGTATCACCACTTCACTACTGCAGTTACTTGGACGCCCTTCTTTTCAGAAGATCCTTTGAAAAACAGAGTTTTTCCTCCAACTTGCTTCGTTACAAATGATGTTTGATGAAGTTCTTGAAGTGTTGAAGAACAGGATGAACTTTGCTTGTTTGTTGGGGATGAGAGGTTTGGAGTTTGAATCTTCCCAACTTAAGCTTGTCTTTTTGAAGTTTGTAGAATTTGAATCTCAAGAAAGCTTGAATGATGATGAGCAAAAGTTGTAGCAAAGTTGTTTTCCAGTTCTTCGTAGAGTAGCTTATATACTGGGGTTGTCTGCCCGTTGGAGGAGGGGACAACTGCATTAAATGCGCGTACAGTTGACTTGACCGCCGTTTTTGGAAGGTTTCTATTTTTCTAATATATCTTCCCGGATTCTTTGGTCAATCATTTGCAATCAATCCTTCAGCGTATCAGGCTCATTTAATGTGCATTTAAATGCTTTCCTTTCATGCACAGTCTTGTAGCCGTTGGATGTTTTTACCCGTTGAATTCATAGCTGTTGGATGTTGCTTGAAATTTTTCTAAGTGTTCGTTGGGCTCTGATCAGGTTCTTCTGATATGTTGGATTCTGAAGGCTTTCTGATGAGTTGAGTTCTGATGGAGTTCTGTTCTCTGACTGAACTCTAACTCTGATTCTGATAGGTCCGCTGATGAGTACCTCTGATCTGTAACTCTCATCGGTTATCAGATGTCCAAATTTATCAGCAACTCGTATGATGCAACTCTGATGGACTTCTGCTAAGAGAACTCTGATGGAGCAGTTCTCATAGAGCAAGTCTGATGCACTTCTGATCTGATCCAAAATAGAGCAACTCTGA